TAAATTTTCTTTGTAAAGAAGTAGTAGATATACCTTTGACAGGCACAGAATTTATTTCTACACGATACGCACTCTACTATAAGAAAAATATGACTTGAAATTATTTTTGTTCGATATCGCGAACAACGATAAAGTACTGATTTGATTATTCAATTAACGTTTCGGTCATTGTATGGTGTATAATAAATAATGCATTTAAAATCTCACCACGATTACGTGCCGTTCGATAATTTACCAGATTTTGTCCAAGGTGCTATGCTTCGATAAGTATTTAAAGCATTTCAACGATTTATATAATAAAATATCTTAAAGAATGTTCCAGTATCAGAGTGGAAGGTTAAAAATAAAAACGTGTTTGATGTAGATAAATAAAATGTAAAAGGAATGAACTTCTTGTCCCCAAACGTATTCGTAAAACAAATAATGAATAATACAATTTACTTCGCGATTATTTATACGTATCACAGACCAGAAGAAACTGCGAACAATCGTCTTGTTAATTAAAAAATAGATTCTGTTCGTTGAACCGATCGGAATAATGTAACGATTCGCATTCTATTACTCCCTCCAGGATGAGAATAAGTTACTGACCGTGTAATTTCATGGATACTTGCCCAGCGAGCTACCCGTTAGACACAGAAGTGCAATTTTAATTCCCTGTGTGCCGTGCGCTGCGATACGAACGAGCCCGCCATGCTTCTCAAAGTTTGAGGATAGAAAAAGGTGCGCCGAGCGTTTACGTGAGGTCAATGGGTAAATGGATTCCCCGATCGTTTCGAGAAAACTGTTCGGGAATCCAAATCGAAACCTAGAAACGAATGATTCTAAGGATGACGAATGATTCGAACTAAAATTAGAAGAAAAAGGAGGAATTACGGAATTAGGGGCAATTACGGTTTTCCGGGCAAAAGTTTGATAGTTTTTTTACCGAATCTTATAGGACAACCCTCGGAGAACAATTGAGGGGTGTGCTGCAATAAGGAGGCAGCTTCACTTTTTGATGGTTTTGAGGTCTTGGTTAGAACATAATCACGCGTTTAAAAAATTTCTGTTTTTCGTGGTGCAATTAAGGAGACAACTCCGATCACTAGAAAAACCGACGATGTCAAATTGAGGGAGACAGAGCAAGAAAAAGAACGAATGGGTCTAGCAAGATAAGGATAGGCAATCGGACCTCGCTCCAATTTTCATTGCAATTATGTGCCTTGCAATCCTTTTGACCTAAAACATCATCTCACAATGTTTCAAATCGTGAGACCGTTACCTTCCCGTTCAAGGGTAATACGAGGGTAAACACCCTTAACTTTATTATTCTTTTTCTCGGTTACCATTTCAGATATTTAAATTCTGGAAAGACGAAAATATTCGTACTTATAAACTGCATCTCATATATTTTTGTCAGGGCATTTTTTTGTTTGTTTATTATTAAGGGTAGAAAATAAATAATTCATTTATGTGGTAATTGCAAACAACCATGTGAGTGTCACCTACCAAAGAAATCAGGAATGTTTATTTACGTGTAGGTTGTTTACACATCCTCTTTCTACGTAACCACCACCTCATATTTTGTTATACAGGGTGTCCCAGAATTATATATTTTTGTATTTATATAAAAAGTAAGGTGTACAAACATATTTTGTGCAACATATTGCAATTTGTGAAGGTACACAAGAAAGCCTAAGATTGTAACCTAACACATAGTTTACACATCCTCTTTCTACGTAACATCACCTCATATTTTGTTATACAGGGTGTCCCAGAATTAGTGTAAGTATCTATATTAAAGTAAGGTGTACGAACAAGTATTTATATAAAAAGTAAGGTGTACGAACATATTTCGTATAAAATGGTGCAATTTGTGAAGGTACACAAGAAAGTCTAAAATTGCATATCTGTTATTATTTTACACGTTATCACATATTAGAAGAGTATAATACAGTATAAAATAATATAAAATATTGATTTTCGGCCTAAATATGTTTCTCACTATCTGAACATTCAAGTCAAGTAACATTACAATAAATTACACGCCTTGTAAGTTACATTATTTAATAAGACGTAGATTCCTGCTTGCATGTTCTTGCGTGACTTACCAAGAGGAATCATCCTTTTTGAAATTATGTCTCAAGCATTTTTCAAATATTATTAAATTGACAATTCACGCTGACATAGTTCAATAATAGATCGTAGTATGTTTGATCAAAATTCTTCTAAATATAAAATAATGTTTTACCATAATCCTAAAATAGATCACTTTTATAATATGTATAATGTTTCATGTATTAGATGTTCATTTGTTTTGATGTTTCATGCACCCTATTCCGGTTCTTACACTAATTCTAGGACATCCTGTATAATAAATGGCTTGACTTATGAAGAAGATTCATCCTTTTTGAAATTATGTCTCAAGCATTTTTCAAATATTATTAAATTGACAATTTACGCTGACATAGTTCAATAATATATCGTAGTGTGTTTGATCAAAATTCTTCTAAATATAAAATAACGTTTTACAATAATCGTAAAATAGATAATTTTTATAATACAATGTTTCATGTATTAGGTGTTCATTTGTTGTGATGTTTCATGCATCCATTTCCAGTTCTTGCACTAATTCTGGGACACCCTGTATAACAAATATGAGGTGGTGTTACGTAGAAGGAGGATGTGTGTAAACAATCTACACGTAAATAAACGGCAAAAATTATTTATATAAAAAATGAAGGCGTACGAACATATTTCGTTTGAAATGTTGCAATTTATAAAGGTAAATAATAAACCCTAATTTTGTAACCTGACAAATAGGAAATTTTAATGCAAATCTGTTATTATTTTACACGTTATCACATATTAAAATAGTACCAAACAGTATAAAATAATATAAAATATTGATTTTCGGCATAAATACGTTCCTCACTGTCTGAACATTCAATTCAAGTAACATCACAATAAATTACACGTGTAAATTACTTGTAAGTTACATTATTTAATGAGACATAATTCCTTCTTGCATGTTCTGTAACGAATTCCTCCGACTTCAAAGGGTCAAAAATTCTCGATTCAGAATTTTCGAGCACAATCACCAGGGCGAGTTGGTAAATAGATCACTTTTATAATATAATGTTTCATGTATTAGGTGTTCATTTATTGTGATGTTCCTATTCACTCATTCCAAAATTGTTTCATTCAGAAATGATAAATGTTGGAGTCCGTTACCGTAAACAAAACAAAGAAACGTGAATGAATTTATTGAAACTCCTCGAGATTGAATTCCACAGCGGTCTAGCGGAAATTGGATTTCATTTATTTGAAAACCGTTTTCCTGAGAAACAGTAACGGAGATTTGTTGAAAATTCTCGACGCGGTATTCCCGAGTATAATCAGCAGTGGAGAGATCAAGGATCACGATGCACCTTCGCCAACCATCCGTCCTCTCCAAGATCAATGTTGCCCGACCGATCTCGGCGAAGCAGTCCCGCGCATTCCAGGCTGGTTTTACCATACCGAGAAAGAAGAACGAGGAAGAAGAAGAGGAAGAGGACGAAGGGACGTGGCCGTATACTCAACGCGCGAATCACTGAACGCGCATGATGTGACCGAGACGTTAGGTGAAACTCCTTTTCCCGCTGGGATCGCACCTGTTCAAGTTTCATGAGTTGACAACTCTCTCGATAAATAGCTAAATATATTTATAATCGCGTGAAATGATTTCTACAATGTCCTGTGCGCAGTTATTTTAATAAATTTGCATCCTCGTATTACATTTTAACGGAATTGAAATGGTCGGAACGATTGTTGGGAATTCAGAGTTCTTGAAAAAAGTTTAGCAAAGGTTTTGTAACTTAATGATAAGTGGACTGCGGATTTTTAGGAATGTATAGAAAGTTTGAAGGTGGAGGAAACTGCAAAATGCATAGGATACGCAATATTATAAAAATATATTGAAATATGGAATATGGGATCATATAAACATGTAATATAATACTTGTAATCTTTATTTTATTTATTTGTGAAAACGAGGTTACTCAATTTGACATTTAAATCTTTTCTTTCGGCATACTTTTCAGTGCATTTTCTCATACTTTTAAGAAATTGTATCTAGAGCTGGTGAGTATTCATATAAATTAACTAGAAATTGTTTCACACTTTTTACTCTTGTTTTAATGTTTTACGAAGTCGGTTATATTTGTTTCCAGAAATTAAATTACTAACTAAAATGAGACGTAAATTATACTGGGTGTCCTAGAAATATTGGAGTTTCTTCAAAGGGGTGGTTCGGGGGTTACATGTTTACAATATAAAAATATTTACAATATTGAATGTTGGTACAAACAGGGAATTAATAATTAAGGAACACGTTCAACTTACGTACGTAACACGAATAATTGATTTATTAATCGAAACAATACTTTGTTGATGTTTGAAATATACACGGTGTCCCAAAAATGTTGGAGGTCATTGAAAGACGTGGTTCGAGAGGTGATTTGAAACAACTTTTTCCTTAGCGAAAATGTTGTACGAGGCTTCGTTGAGGAGATATTAACAGAAAACCTCGACCAATCAGAGCGCGAGGATGCCGGTGGACCGCCCACGGTAGCGTTGGCCACGCCCTCGAAGCGGTCGCGCTCTGATTGGTCGAAGTTTTCTGTTAATATCTCCTCAACGAAGCCTCGTACAACATTTTCGCCAAGGAAAAAGTTGTTTCAAATCACCTCCACCATGTACAGGGTGTCCCAAAAGTCGGGAAGGAGCCGGAAATGGGGGGTAGCTGAGACGATTCTGAACAACAATTTCCTTTGCAAAAATGTCGGATGGGGCTTCGTTAAGGAGAAATTAAGCGAAAACCCCGACCAATCAGAGCGCGCGTAGACCGTTGGAGCGGGCGCGGTAG